GCGAGCATTAATTGCAATAGATACTGTGGAATAAATCATTATATTTATAGATTCCCACCATTACATTAATTTTTTCACGCCGTTGCATTAATTTTTTCACAATTCGAACTCAAACTTTTCTCTTTTTTTTTTTTTCCACAATTCGGACTCAAACTTTTCCCTTTTTTTTTGTTCACAATTCGGACTCTTTATTAGAATATTTATTTTTTTGATTTTTTTAGGAATACAATAAAAAATATGGAATCAAAATCCAAATAAATCTCCTCTTTTTGTGGCTCCATATAAATCTCCTCTTTGAAAGCATCTTCAATGCTCTAATGTTGTTATAGAATTTTTTTTGACAAATGTCAAAAAAAATAAAATAAATAGATTGTGTACCATGTAGGACAAATATTGAGTTCACAACTATTAAATTAAAAAATCATCTCCAATGCACAATGTTGCCTAATTTCAATATTATCTACTTGCCAAATAATAAAATTTTAATATAAATTAATAAAATTAATTAAATAATTAAATAGTTTGAAAATGATAATAATAATTCTCTCTCTTCTCCTCATTGGTGAACTAGAGTGTGGACTAGAATGTGGATGAACCACATTCTTCTCTACATTGTAGACATTAATTATGTCCACATCATCACAACATTTGTGATCACATTGTACATTGGATGATGAAAAATTGTGATATTAATAAATCTGTTGATGTGGAATGTAATTTATCACTACAACATTGAGCATTGGAGATGCTCTGAAGACCGCATATCCTGCGTTTAGTAAGACGTTTGCCAAAAAAAAAAATGATTAATTAAAACTGATTCGTAATTATCATCAATCACTTTTGATTAAAATATTACCAATATCTTTCCATTCAAATAATTGTCATCAATCACTTTTTTGCTAAAAAAAAATTGTATAAAAGGATATTCACTACCACTATTATTTCTTCACGTCATTCACAACATTCATAAAAATAAAATACAGAGATAAATTTCAGAACACATCGATAATATAATGCCGCCTGTCCGGGATACACTCGATTCCGTGAGTAGGACATACAAAATTTATTTGCGTTTGAGAGCAGTTCGAATAATTGAAACGCATCACGAAAGGGAGAGCCGGAACACATTCTATATACTTTTTCATGATGAACAGGTAAATATTTTTATTTGTAATATCAAATTTATATAGTTTGAAAAAATATTTTATTTAATAATTATAAATTTATTATGTAGGGTGCATTTATTAAAGGCATAATTCGGACTCACGCCATTGCATTAATTTTTTCACAATTCGAACTCAAACTTTTCTCTTTTTTTTTTTTTCACAATTCGGACTCAATCTTTTCCCTTTTTTTGTTCACAATTCGGACTCTTTAGTAGAATATTTATTTTTTTGATTTTTTTAGGAATACAATAAAAAATATGGAATCAAAATCCAAATAAATCTCCTCTTTTTGTGGCTCCATATAAATCTCCTCTTTGAGAGCATCTTCAATGCTCTAATGTTGTTATAGAAATTTTTTTGACAAATGTCAAAAAAAATAAATAGATTGTGTACCATGTAGGACAAATATTGAGTTCACAACTTTTATAAATTTATTATGTAGGGTGCATTTATTAAAGGCATAATACGTTCTACAAATATGAGAGC